AACTTTTCGTATTCCGCACTCCGCAGCTCTACCGTTGACGTTTAAGCAATCAGTACCATACCTCACTATAGAGTCTGTATGGCTCAGTGGTAGAGCCTTGGGGCACTATTAATAAATAAATAATAATAAGTAATAATTTAGTAATGGACTTTCCACTGGGTGGCTCTTCTTGTCCACTGTTTCCAGATCGAATTGGAATTTGGAATGTTGGTCTTTGCGGAGGGAGGAAAACCGAAGGACCCGGAGAAAAACCCTCCGAGCAAGGACGAGAACCAACAACAAATTCAACCCACATGAGACACCAGGTCCGGGAATTGAACCCGGGCCACAGTGGTGGGAGGCGAGTGCTCTCACCACTGCGCCATCCCTGCTCCCCTATTCCAAAGGCCTGGGTTCTAGTCCTCATGGGTTTCAGATTTATCGATTTGTCCTGCGCATGGGAAAAGACGAACGCCTCTTTTTCTACGATTTATTGGTCATTTTGATCGGCGAGAGATATTCATCCTTTCTGACTCTTGCGATCGATCATTATTCTTCACTTAATGCAATATTCATGCTCATTTTTGCATTTAATATAATGGTTAATGATCTTGTTAGACTGCGTTTTCTTTATTTTCTCTGCAGGCGGGATAGAAGCAGGGCTTGTCTTCTCTGCTGTCATTTCTATTTTGATGTTGCTGCATTTTATGAAATGCCATCGGTGAGTTTTCTTCTTTGTGTGGAAACTCTGCTGCTCTATGTGTGCCAGTTTCGTTCTTGGTTAGACTTCTCGATTTTGCGACTCTCTCCATCCAGTAAGTATAAATTATTGGGTAGCATCAAATTCAGTGTCAAAGAAGAGCTGATCAAGTTTCGATCTAGTCGAGGCTGGTATCGTAATGATAAGTCTGTACTCGAACCAAACAGCCCATCGAACCAAATAATATCCCGGTTGCTATAACATGAATCGATTAGGTCTATTATTTAATCACAGCGAAGTATTTTGATTGCCTGATCCCTTTAGTTCAGGCTAGCATTGGTAATGGGCCCAAATTTACGAGAAATCGGTTATTTTATCGTTTCCTTTCTCCACCTACCAACAATCAGAGTTCCCGCGCTCCTTGAAAGTCCTTCCATATAATTTTTTTGTTTTCAAGGACTTGAAAACCCTTAGAGTTAGACTCATGTCCTCGAAAATTTCTGAAAAGTCCTTGGAAATAAGTGCAGATGAATCGTAGTCGAAGTTTTCTTTTGTTTTCAGTATTGAAAGTGTAAGCTTCTAAAACAAATCGCGAAAACGAGTTATCCTGTCAAATCCCTCCTCCGATTATGATGTTTGACACGCAATTTTTACTGAGTTTGTACCTGACTGGGGCATTGAAAATAACCGTAGTTACCTAGCACATGATCACTTTAATGTGCACGATTGAAGTCACGCTCGTTAGACTTTCGGCCGGCAATGTTTTTTATTTCTAATAGCTCCTATTTAATGCAAAAGGTCCTTGAGTTTGAGAGCCAAGGTCCTTGAAAATGACCTAAAAAGTCCTTGAAAGTCATTGGATTGAGTTCCTGAAAAATTGCAAAACCATGAACAAGGTGAAACAAATATTTATGTACACAAGGCCGTTGAATTGTGCATGGAATAGTTTTAGAAATGTAGTCTGTTCTTCGAACGTGAAGGAATTGAGGAAGAAATAATTTTATTTTATCGCATGTGAATCTACCGATACTTCTTCAGCTTTAAAACTGATTAAGAAATTAAGCATTTTTCTCAAGTGAATTTTCTTGCATGCATTTCTGCAAGATCCCTTCTTGGCCATAATGTTGTTGTTGTTTTTTGGTTTATTAAAGTACTATCATCGACAGTATGGTGTAGTGAAGCCACAAAGGCACGCATCAAAGGATTAAAAACACACGCTTTATTCCGATCAAACGAAGTACACCACTCTTCAATTTCTCGCTCTTGCGCACACTTTAAGCTCCCAGATATGTTTGCGAACTACTGCTTTCCCAATACACTACAGACGGTGAATATGCAACCCCACAAAATGGAATTGTTTTTTTGTGGTGAATGATTTCTGGGACCAATGCGCTCACGTCCATTGTCTTAAAATCTATTTCAGAGAACACGTGCTTCAGTGTTATCGAGGGCAAACAACATTTTCTCAGGACGTGTTTTTGGTACCCTCAGCTTTGGTGGTTCGTATTTTGATTGTAATAATGATTTATTGTAGAGAAAATAGCAAAAAGTATAGAATTATCGATGATGTTCAAAAAGGAAGAATTTCTAGAACTCCAGACAACTTTTTACTGCTTAGTACTCGATTGAATTTGGTGAGAAAGGCTACCTCGCTTGTTGGTGTCGAAACTTGGAATGAAATATATACCTAATAAATTTTAAACTTTACCCCCAAAAAAGGTATTTTGAAGAAAGCAAATGAAGAAACCTCCGTTTGATATTCTGGAAAATGAAGATTTATTTCACGATATTGAGAATACTATTTTAAAACTCAAACTAAATCGAATTGATCAAACTCATGGTGTCTCTCTCACAATTATACAAGAACCTCATTGTAAACCACCTATTTACTTATTTCCTAAATGTGGGTCGACTCACTCTTAAATTTTGTTATGAATAACGCGTGATCACTGATTATTGATTGTTATTGAGGCAAAATATACGACTCCCTGGTGAACCTCAAGATCACTGTGTAAACCACAAGACTGAATTAATCGACTTTAATCAACGAATACTTAATCAGAAACTTCTAACAGTGACAGAATAAAACGGGGCGGCCACGCTTAGTAAAACAACACAACGAGTACAAGTTTCGACATGGCGGTTCTCTCATGCACTCGAGCACATGTTTTTTTGAACTATCTCTGCGCATGTGCTGAACGCACACCACAGGTTAATAACATTGCGGTCTAGACTACTAGTCACCAGATTCCACAATCACTGTATATGGTGTAATGCACAGGTTCTGAGTTAATGGGTTGCCAAAATAATTATATAAAATGTAGCTTAAATGTGTCATTTATATTTTGTCCTCCCTTTCTTTTTCTCCCTTTTTCTTTGTAGGGGAAAAGTCTTCGATATTCTGGATATCAGATCGCCTTCTCATTGATAGGTATGAGAAAATCAATAGAACATCTTACAGTGTCTTGAGTCCAACACCATCGTTTTGTTTCTTTTCTTGTCTTTGCCTACTGCAAGAGAAATGCGTTGAACAAGGAATTTGAAATCTCGAGAACAACGTTGGTATAGCCTTTCTAGCAGGCTAAATAACATTTTTTTCCCTATGAGCTTTTGGTACCCCCACAAAGCTGTCGCTTTTGAGGGAATGTTTATTGTAGATCCATGAAACGAAACCTTTGAGTCGTTGCCAAAAGTTGAATCAGAAGCGATGTAGATTGTTTGTGGTATAGCCAGAGTAGATTGGCAACATTGTCATTGTAGGGACATGAACGTTTTTTTTTAAACTCCCCAATTTTAAATTGTGTTAATACTGGAAGGTGGTTTCTTTTCTATACAGTGCACTTTGTACAAATGGGATCTCTTAAATTTTCTGTCCTTTTTCTATAATAGGTTTTTTTATGCTGTCAATTTATTTGTCATTTGTGGCCATTGCTCTGGCGATCATTTTCAAAGGTCCTGAAGAAGTCCTTGGCGTAAAAATATGGGAAGCATTGAAAGACGCCGGAGTAGCTTTCATGTAAGTTTATGTGATGTACATGTTGTAGTGAATTGCGTAACTTTGTAGAGACTTTTGTCTCCTAAGAACCCCAGTGAGAAACTCTCCTGATTCCTATTATCTTTATGATTCAGATCATTATTTTTTGTAAATGATGTTAAATATCAGTGTTGCCACTACACGTTACCAAATGACGAACTGCCCTCTATAAAACGCTCCTATTCATGGGCCAGACGGCAAATTGCGGGCTGTTAATGGCATTTGCCGCCCTGAAATATACCTTAACAAATGAATTTGTACGATTTGGCCTTGTGTATTTATAATAATGATAATCATATGAGTTTTGTCGGGCATGTAGTTTATTTCTGGCACTCGTAGCATCATTTGCACCCTCGCTCCGCTCGGGCGTAAATGATGGTACTCGGGCCACAAATAAACTATAAGTGCCCTCCCAAGTCATGTCATTGAGCTAATAACACAACGCAACTTGAAAGACAGTTGAATCCTCAAACTAAGATAAAGTATCAAACTTGCAGGGTAGGTCGCACGGTGACTTAAAATCTCTCTGAAAGCCCCAGTCTAGTGCTTATCCTCGGACTGAGTCAAGGCATATCATTGATTTTCAGACCCACACTTGCCTTGGTTATTTTTCTGCTGCTGTTCCAGTTATTTCTCGCACGTTTCGTCTTCTGTGACTCAACTTATCCGAACATCACTGTCACGATTGATAACAGGTATTGTTGTACATCAGATGAATGAATTCTTGTCTGAACAGGGGATCTAGTCTCATCCGTAATCGAGAGATTTTAATCGGCAAAAGCACTGTGTTGTGTCGTTTGGCAAGAAACTGTGTACCACCGCGGTACCACCGCGGTACCACCGCGGTCTACCAATCAAAATTCAGCATTTCTTCCTGGGTCCTTTTCTAGAGTTGCAGTATCTTCACGGGCCCGTAGGCATACTCTAAAGCGGACGGAAGGAATTGGTGGTCTCAGCTAAAAACCAGGACATCCTGTTTGGGTTCCGGATATTTTTACTGTTCGAATTTCAAAATTAATGTTTAAGGCCTTGTTGTTCGAAGGCCGATTAGCACTAACCCAGGGTTAAATTTGAATCCAGGTTTCATCATTTCTCTGTTCAAAAGCCTTTTAGGGAAAATTTTCTCTTTTCTTTTTAGGACATCCAATCATCAAATTGCAGACAAAATGATTAAACCTGAATTTTCTTTTTAAGCTGTCAGATATGAATTGAATTTTCACACTAACCTTAGGTTATCTTTACCCTGCTTTGAACAACCCGGCCCAGATTTGAATGAACAAAAGGCAAACAAAGTCAGCTGTTTGGGCTCGTAAGCGGACTTGCAAGAAGTAGGCCCTAGGTTGATCTGCATTTTTCTCAGATCTGCATCGCTTTTAAAGAGTCATTAAGCCGAAAGGACTAAGTCCTTGTGGTTGAAGTTTTTTTTCTTTTCTTTCAGGCAGCTTTTCTCCATCTTGTCGTATTTTTTCTTCTTCTACAACATAATTGTTGGATTGACTTCTTGCACCATTCGAATTCTTAAGGGCATGCTCTTAGGAGTGATCTTCATTTCTCGTATCGATCGAACATCACTGATACAGGGTTTCCAGTCTTGGGACAAAGGTATGATTCAGTCGACTGGTACAGGCAAGTTTTTGTTAAAGTTGTCAGTGCGACTATTAACGCAAAAACCGTGCGATCCTAGATAACGTTCGACTCTCACTTTAAACCCGCATAATTTCTCATTCAGCTTTCGTTGCATACGTTGGTTTTGTGACTGTGCTGGTTGCCCACAGACATCCCGTGATGCTGGTGTTCTGCCAGTTGCTTATTGACAGAAAGAGCGATCAGCAGTCCCAGGAAGAGCGTGAGTAAAGTGTCCCCTGAATAGCCCATTGCGGAATTACCCTTGGCCTCTTTTTCAAAACGAGGCCTGCTGCTCAACTATTCTTGCGAAAATGGGTTTAATTTGCATGTGAATGAAAACTTATTATCATATGAAAGGATGAGCACCAGGACTCGTTTTGAAAATGGGGCCAGAGAAATTCGGAAATGGACTATTAATAACACAGGCTGGGATGATGCATTTCTAGGATTCTGATTGGTTGTACGGATAAATGGACAGACGAACCTACGCGCCGAGGGGCGGACGGGCGAGTGGACAATTATAGCTTGGAGGCAAAAGCCGCAGTTATTTTCTTTATAAGATAAAATCACAGTACATACAGTATATGAAGTGATAACTGGCACTCTGTAACCAATCAGAACGCTAGCAATGCTCTTTCCACTAAGAGTAACAAATATTTGTTTTGTTTTTTTGTTTTTTTGTTTTTTTTCATTTTTTATGAGTTTCGTGGATAATATTAAACCGTAGAACGTTTGATAAAAAAATTACTCTGTTGATTTCTCCATCGTTGGATACTCGTTGGTTACTTATCATCTATTCCTCATCCACTGTCCATCTGAATTGAGTTTATGACTAATGGTTACTTTTCTAGGAGACATTCCTACATGCACAGTTATCTCCTCTTAGAGAGTGCCTAGAATCTAGTTTCTCCTTACAATATCACCCCTGAATCAATCATAAAGGTCACATGGACGAAATATGTGATCATCAACTAAAGAAGAAAATGATAGCTTAAGTATTCTCCTTGTCAGCACCTCAGGAAAACTATAGAGTACAGTATGGAGAATATGCCTCATTATAGTTCACCACTAAATTTTGTCCGGTTCTTATTGGTTTAAATCGATCACGTGACGCGATAGTGTTCATCCGTGGAGGGACACTATCAGCCCATAGTGTTCGCCCGCGGAAAATACCCGGATGGATAGTACCTGTCCGCGGAAAATACCTGGATTGATAGTGTTGAGGCTATTCCTCAACAAGGTTTTATGTTTGTCCGTTCCGTACCTCAGTTTTTTTGTATGTCAGTAGACCACAAGCCTTCGGTAGTAATTTTTTATGAGCCCCTTTACGCACGTGGAAAAGCGCTTGTGAATGAGTTAGGTACGTAAAAACTGTTTTCTTTTCTTTCGTTTACCACCTTTCATCATGTGGTTTTTACGGCTCCCTAAGCCTCGTAATTTATGATGAAAGGGCGACCGGATGGTTTTGTAAACATTGGAATTCTTCGCCGTCATTAAATTCGTTGGGTTAATGACCTGTTCTGTTGTTATTTGCCATCAACGCCGCTATATGTGTCCGACCCGGACAGATAGTACTCATCCGTGAAAAGTTTTGAATAGTTTGACGGCCGCGAAGTTAGGCAGATCTGAAAAATAGTGACTTTTCAATTCTGACATGTATAACGTATTATTTAGCCAATGTACGGTTGCGAATTATTGACATTTGTGAAAAGCTGTAGGCGCGGAAGAAAATTTAGTGGTGAACAGTAAAAACAATAGAGTGTATATGTCTCGGAACTATCGGTCTGATAGTTGCCCCTTGGAAATTTGATGTTCTTAAAACTAGCATATTTATTTTAAGAACATCAAATTTCCGTGGGGCAACTATCAGCCGATAGTTCCTCGACAGAAACACTCTATTGTTTAATTAGGTTAGGGTATAAGGGTTAAAATTAAAATATGGTAAACAGCACAGCGTACACTATTGAGTTATGGATGCACGCGGGAGGTTGCTAAGCACGAAAGAAGCGTAAGAGTCCCTCGAGGCGATAGCCGAGAGCGACTCTAGCTTCTTGAGTGCTTAACAAACCTCCCAAGTGGATCCACAACTCAATAGTGTACGCTGTGGTGTTTACCATTTGTTTTATAACATAACATTGATACACTGTAACTAAAGAGTTCCCTTTTATTTAACAAATCTTACGTGACCAGAAAAAACAAGMAAGCGCGGAAAAATAGTCTTTGCATTTGCTCACGTCAGCAGCGTACACCCATGGGCAAATGGGGGACGCTAAATTGACCAATCAGAGCGCGCGCTTTACTTTGGTTATGTTATAACTAGTTTTCAAGTACAATGTTAAAAAGTTTCTTTTCGTCTTAGGACCCGTGTGTAAGCCAGTATATTGTACCTTTGGCCCAGAGACGGGAGGTTAGTTATACTTCTCTTAAATTAAAGGAATTATCACTTCCATTTTAAGATTACCATTTGAAGTTACGAAGTCCCACTCGTGGACCACGTGCGGGCATGATTTAGTCCATTCTATTATTGCTGTCCAAATATGTCTTTAAGGCATTTAAGAAAGATGATAGCTGCCGAGTATAGTGTTATTTCTCGTATTTTATATTAGGTAGAAAAAGTTGAACTTTTCAGCCAAGTATGATAATACTGATTATGAAAACACAGAGATCTAGAATCGTAGGACGACTAAACAAAGGGTTATGTGAATTGTGTCAGTTTCGAAGCGTGGAGAACAATTAGTTTCCTGGCACTGAACCCTGCGGGGAAGTATTTAACCAGCGGAAAAGGGAACAGAAGACCCCAAATTACGCAGAGTTGGTTCAAAGCGCGGCAGACCGTGCAAGCTGCTCAAGCAAAGTGCGGTGAAGTATGTAGCTGGTGTTTAAAGACACAGGGTAACAGTAGACTGTGCATTAGATCGTAGTAATCGTGTGAGAAGTGAGTAGAAGTTTTACCTGGCTGAAGTTTCAGATGAGCAGCCTGGGTACTAGAGAATTCTAAGTCATCCTAACTAGCGGAGTCGTAAAAGCGCACAGCGGAGGTTCGGCTGCCCTGTGAGAGGTTAAGTTTTATGGCTCCTACGCTTGACGTCTCTAAGCGCGCCCAACAGCGTTAAATACGTAGGCAAGATAATTTTCGTAAATCTTACTTCCCTCTGATGATGATGGTTTGTCAGATTTATGGTCGAACGGAGGGGAAAATCGCAGTTTGTCTCCTTCTCATTTAGGTTCTAGTCAGGAGGTACGTCGGCCGCGCATGTCTCAAAAGGCTTTCAACCGCTGGTTCCTGGCGGTCACTCTGATGCGCAACCCATCTCTCGTCAATTACCGCAGCCGAGGCCGCCATTTCAGAGCGTCTGTTGTGAATCTTGGAAGCGTCAACTCTGGTGTTCCACTGTAAAAGTGTGAGGCTATCTCAGAAGGCACAATGGTGCCAGATCTGTCTGCTGTTTGGCTCATTTTATCGCAGATTTGCTGTAGTTTTGGGTTTAGATAACAAAATGGAGAGCACTCCATTGCTAGTAACCATAAACATGTACACTGTATCTAGATAAATGTTAATTACGAGTTTTGAAGAAGGTAGAATAGTGTTTCCTCTGTTTGCTGTTTGGTGCATTTCGCTGGAGATCTGCTGTAGTTTAGGGTTTAGATCACAAAAGGGAGGGCTCTACTTTGCTAGTGACTATAAACATATACACTGTATCTGGATGAATGTTTAAAAATTTAATGGGTCAAAATGTTGACACTAATTTTGATGATGACTTACAAAGAAAAAAAAAGGAGAGAAAAATTGTAATTTTGGAAGTAAGAGTCACGTTATTGGACAAACGTGGAAAGGCAATACAGTTGTTGACGAGTTTTGAAGATTTCCGAAGGAAACGAGTTATAATGAAGGGTACTATAAAAGAGAGACTCAATCGGGTTAACCGTAGGCCGTAAAACGGCAAAAAAAATTGACCATTAGGTTAAAAAGTTGACAAATTTTGACAGTTAGGTGTTAAAAAAACAGGTTAATCTTTTTTTTTTCTTTTAATCGCCACAGAAAAATATTAATCTTTCCTTTGAAACCCTCCTAAAAGAGTTAGACTATAGATCAAAAGAGCGATCGTTTTCTCTTTTAAATGAATATGGATTCTATCTGTTGATTAGTTTTCCTTAATATAATATATCAAGTATGAAAAGTAATATAGTACAAAAAAAAAATGAGTGACCAATTGACGTTAGGCTACGAGCCAGGTGTATGAGGGAATAGAAGTAAGAGCGTTATTTAAAGGAAACTTGCTGCAGGATGAGATTGTATGAGTTTTAGGTTGCTGTCTATGTTGCAGGTTTTTATTTTATAGAGGCAACTGTGTTTGATTATAGGTGCAGTTTCGCCCATTTCGAGTTATTTAAAGCAGTTGTATTTCTTTATTATTTGTTCAAATCAGTTACATTTCGTCATTACTAAGGAGTGTACGAACTAACTAATTCAATATGAAAAGTAAAAATTTTGTTTCATTTGAGGATCGTTATTTGATCGAAGAAAAAAAATCTTGTGAAATTATGGAAAGGAGAGGAGATTGGGAAGGGAGGGGTGGGTTAGAAAAAGGACGGAAGAGCCCGCAACCTCTGTTAGTGAGGACTGATCCCTTCGTTCCCCCTTGAAAACTATGTAATCCCTCCAAAAAATGTCTGTTAAAACGTAACAACCTCAAACAGATTATTACATACCCACATTTCGCGCTATCTTTTCGAATGTATTGCACTGAAGTTTGCTGCCACATCTAAAGTCCAATAACTTAATTGAAGTGTCTTTAGAAAACAAGCGCTCTGAAACCTGTTCAAGTGTACAACCGCTGACACAAAAGGCTCACAGGTCCCTAAAATGTTGACTCATGGTGAAAATGAAATGAAAGATCATTAACGCATTTTATATGAATATGCTGACCCTAAACAGGCGGAGATTTGAATCGTAAACAGTCGTCCGTCGAGTTTTATCGCCCCCCAACAACTGCTTACTGGACATATATGTACGATACTCACCCTGCCGTCTGTCACACCATCTCTTCTCTAGAGGTCATCCTTTCTTCACTAGCTCGTTCCCTGTTTTAAGGAGCCGTCATACCTTTACATAGCAGAGAAATTACTGCGTTACACCAAGCTTCGACCGCGGCACAATAGATACAACAGAATTTCCTGCCTCATTCGTATTAATATGTGCCATTAAATCTTTAGCCTTGATTTCCGTTGTTTTTTCTTCGGGAAACCATCGATAGTCCCAGGAAGTGACAATCGTCTTTCCGGAGGGAACGTGGGCTCAATTTTACGTTAGCGGCTTATGATGACGCCGGTCAATTTGCTCCACAAAGGTTTGTGAGGGTTCATGGTATTCAACATTGCTTCTTCGACTCGTATACAGGTTCATTACTATATGTGAACAAAAATGAATTTTCACTACTCGCGCCGTACAGTGTTTACCTTTCCCTCAAAAGATATAAGTCTAGACACGTGCCTCGTCACACATTTCTTTTCTCAGTTCTAGCTTTCTACCCCTTGTCCGTCTGTTTCCTCAAACACTTGTGCGTTGAATGTCCACGACTGTCTATTAATTAACTAAAGATTTATGTCTTCTAGACACATGCCCCGGGACGTATTTCTAGTCTCAGCTCTAGCTTTCTTCTCCCTATCTGTTCGTTTCCTCAAACACTTGCGTGTTGAATGTCCACAACTGCTTATTATCTCTTTGGTCCTCATCCAAACCCACAACTACCTACCCAAATCTTCCCCTTTCTCACGAACCTCATTAATTCACAATTTGTTTTTCTCTTACTTTCTAATTCATCAAGATACTCTGGCAACAGAGAAATAAAACAACTTCAGCCTGCTTGAAACACAATAGCAACGACAATATTTGCTATTTTTCCTTTATAATTTCCCTTCATGTGTACTTGGCTTTTAGCCAAACAATATGCTTGATCTTTTTTGTGTACACTACTTTACAATTCATGATAAATTACCTTTTATGACATAATGAACATTGTACACATCTATTTGATAACGTCAGTTTCCAAGCGGACGCTTTATGAGGTTATAGAGCCCGCGTGTAACTAGTTATGTAATAAAAGCAATAGAGCACATTTTTTCCGGGCTTTAAAACATGAGAAAGCCACTTGGGATGTTGGGAGAACACTCGAAAAGTTTACAAGGTAGATCTCAGGTTACGCGCATTGGTACGGTCAGTTCTAGTTCCCAAGCTTTGTGCGGCGGGATCCCACAGGGTACCCGTTTAGGGCCTATTTTGATTGTTTGCATGGTTAATGACCTGATGGCTTCCTGGGGCTTGCATATCAAGTTTGTTGATGACTTAACTATCATGGAAATTCTTCCAAGAAATTCTCCTTCTGGGCTTAACTTCCTTGTGAATGACATCCAAAATTTTGCTAACACCAATAACATGCGCCTTAATCCTACTAAACGTAAGTGCATGAATGTTGACTTCCTTCAGTATAATAGTTACAAGCCTCCCCCGGTCGTATCGGGGGGCGCTGTTATAGAAGAGGTCTCGTCGTTCAAGCTCTTAGGCGTCAACTTGTCCAATGACCTTTCCTGGGGGACGCATGTTAACCACCTGCTGAAGAAGGCTAACAGACGGTTGTTTGCTTTAAGGCAGCTCAGGAGAAGTTCTGTCCCAGNTACGTTCCATACATGAGTACGCCTCTACTGCATTTGCCAATGTACCGTCCTACTTATCTAAGACCTTAGAGTCAGTGCAGAGGCGTGCTCTCGCCATTATTTGGGCAGGTCACTCGTACTAAGATACCCTAATGCTAGCCGGTATTGAAACCCTTGATGCACGCCGTAGTGCTGCCTGTGAATCCTTTATAAGCCGTATTCATAATGACAACCCCCTTTATACTCCAATGTATGCCGACGTTACGTTCGTAAGTCTTCAGACCGCTACAATTTAAGATCAAATCATACTCACTATCACTAAAAAAATTCCACCGATCGTTTTAAGAACTTTGTGACAGTCAAATACTTGCCAGTTTAATCATACTGGTTGTTTTTTATAATAAACATTATCATTTTAGTACTATCATTTTTAGGTAGATGCTTTTTTTACTTGTATGTAGTTTAATGCATTTTATACAGTTTTCCCCCTTTTTTTCTCCTATAATTCTTGTTAATATTATAAACCTGTAATTCAGCATGCTCTGCAAGAGGTTTGAATAAACGATATTATTATTATATTATTATTTTTATTTTTATTATAAATCACTCACCTTCGATTCGTGACTTATAAGCTTTCCTCGTGTTCTCCCCACATCCCATGTGGCTTTGTCACGTTCTAGAGCCCTTAGTCAAGCGAATACGGTGATACGGGCGCTGGATTCCCCTGGTAAGATCGATCATTCAGCGAAGGAAGGCGCGGCCGGGGACGAAAACCGAGCATGTAAAATTAAAAAGGCCAAGTAAGGACTGAAGTTCTGGAAGCGTTACTTTACGCCTCGTATAAAAGTGATTCAAAAGCAGCCGACATTTTCGAAGCTTATCGCCCGGTAACCTAGCTAGCTTCCTGTCGCGCCGAATCTCGTCGTCGTCGTTGGCTCTGGACAACACAGGCCTGGTGGTAATTCTGTCCATGGCTGTTCTTGTCTTTCTTTCTTCCTTTCGCTCTTCAGCCCTATGCCTTCTGAACGGCTTTCCTCAAACTTTTCCACTCCATCTCTTATTGCTTTCCTCCAAATAGTTGTGTTCATAGCCAGATTTTCCCATTCTTTAGTGTCAATAGCGCGCTGGTTAAGGTAACTTTTCAGCCCGTTCTTGAATCTTTTCTTTTGCCCTCCCACATCCCGTTTACCTTCTGTCAGTTCACTGTAAAACATCTGTTTTGGCAGTCTGTTGTTTTCCATCCTCACTACATGGCCACTCCATCTCAACTGGTTCCTCGCAATCACACTCTCCACACTACACATAGTTGCTTGTTCCAAAACACTGAGACTAGGTCTCCTGTCTTGCCACTTAATGATCATCATTTTTCGTAAACATCGTTGCTGGAACTTTTCGAAGGCTGCTATGTGTCTGCGGTGGATTGTCCATGTTTCAGATCCGTATAGTAAGGTGGTTACAATTATGGCTTTATATACCTTGATTTTTGTGTCTAACCTGATGTCTCGGTCTTGAAACACTCTAGACTGGAGTTTCGCAAAAGCTGCAGCGGCTTGCTGTATTCGATGATTGACTCCTGCGTCCACATTTGCATGAGAAGATAAAGTGCTGCTGAGATACATAAAGTTATCCACGTTCTCCAGGACTGTTTCTCCAATTTTTATAGATGGTGGAGTTTTAACTGTGTCTTTTGGAGAGGGTTGGAAGAGAACTTGAGTTTTCTTGGCATTTATCTTTAAGCCGAGTTGTCTATATGCATAGTTAAAAGCATCCAGTATAGTTTGTAGATCGTCCTCAGTATGTGCTGCTATGGCATTGTCATCTGCATACTGGAATTCAAGCATTGCAGATTTAAAGATCTTACTTTTTGCACGTAGTCTTCGCAATTTGAAAAGTTTTCCCTCAAAGCGAAATGCAAGTTCAATCAACTGTTCTGGTATTCTTGGCTATGCAATGAGGAGCACGACTGATAGAAAGTTGGAAAACAATGTTGGCGCCTTTAGACAACCTTGTTTCACTCCTGTCTTTACTTCAAACGATGTGGAATCACCATCGTTTACAAGCACAGTTGCCGTCATCTGATCATGCATTAGTTTAATCATATTGATAAATTTCCGAGGACTAGAGTGATACCAGCGAACTGTATTGTGTTGAATGGGCCGACTGTTTTTTCCTGTGCTATTGGAACCCCGAGATAACTACACATGCGAAGAAAATTGTCAAGATCGGATTGACATTTGTCCCTTGTAGGGGCAATAAATAGAAAATCATCCAAAATGTGAACAGCACCGGAAGCATTAAACAAATTTTCTGATAGCCACTCAAGAGCTGAACTGAAAGCTTCGAAAATCGCACTGCTGGAACTACATCCCGGCCCATTGGCAAAGTGCGATGGTAGTAATACTGATTAGCCCATCTCATGCCCAATAGAGGATGATCTTTGGGATGAACCGGGATTATGCGAAATGCAGATTTAATATCGGTCTTAGCCATAAAACAGCCAGCTCCTAACTGTTTAATGACAGATATGGCATCTCTAAAAGGCGCATAGCGAACTGAAGAGAATTCTTCAGGAATGTGATCGTTAACAGATGAACCCTTAGGATACGACAAATGATGAATTCAACGAAATTCAGAGGGATCCTTTTTGGGAACGATGCCAAAGGAGGAACAGCGAAAATTCGAAAAAGGAGGTGAAGGAAACGGGCCGGCTATTCCGCCTGCTGCGAGCTCCTTGTCTAGTTTAGCTGTAACAATGTGGGGTTGTTCTCGCGCGCTCTTCAAATTAGGGGATTCGAAAGACCGCCTTTCCCCCAAATACTTAAATCGAAAACCAAAAGAAAAGCCATCAACCATAAAATCGCTTCAAAGCCGGGCATAACCGTGCAAAAGAAAATCAAGCCTTTCCACCCTTACGGGGCTGATCGGACTGCTGAGAAGGGGGAGGGGCTTGTTTGGCTTCGGGATGAGCAGGGGGGAGGGCGCGTTGCGAGCTAGGGGATGAACATTGACTTGAGGGATGGAGTGAGCCACATTTGAAACAAACGTGGTCGAAGCGGCACCCACCACAAAATCCCCTGCGTGAAATGCCCAACACGTTCCCTTCGGAAACGACTGGCGGTTCCGAGAGCGCGTGGAGGCCTTATCAAAAGAGATCTGGGGTCGAGCACGAAAATTTGTCACTGCCCTTAACCATAGTTCCCAATGAATAGTAAAATAATTATACGTATGCAGCCAGAAGGTGTACATACGTTTCGTACGTAGTAACAGCAGTATAATAAGTCGTGTAATCAAACAGCTTTGTAGCTGAGTCATACGTAGCCGTGCCTAATAAGGACAATGGCTTACGGTAAATATATAAGGCTGACACAAACAACAAGTGAATGTAATAGTAAAGCATCAAAGGCTCGGCATTTGGCACAAATTAGAGCTGGCAAAACATGTAAAAAAAATGCAATCTTAACAGACTCCTTCCGGAGACGGAGAAATTGGCGAAAGGCGCATCGGTCGCAGAACTGCCCCTCTGAGACTACGATGCAGCTTATGCTGACCCCTAGAGTTCAAATGAACGCCATCGGGTGTATAAAAATTGTATTTCGCCTTCCAAAACCCTCTATGGCCCCAGAATATGGCATATGGTATAGGGTCTAACACAACCCTAAGGTATCGTGTTAACATGCCGACCTTTGTGATAAAAGCCTCAGCTGAGTTTTGGCGAACAGTCTGGCACACGCACACCAACTTTACCCCGTATGACTCGTGTAAAAAATGGACAAATTCTTCGAGAGCTGAACCAACATTCAATGGCGAAAGAGTAACGAGGTCACTACTGCCTAGTTGGAGAATAACGATACTAGGGCGAAAGGAATGGAGGACATGCTTGTTGAATTTTAACGGCTTTTCGACTGTTCTACCCCCAACGCCATGCCAACGTATTAGCACAGGCGACGAGATCTGAAAGTCAAGATCAAAATAGTCGTGATGATTCGCTATGATTTATTAAACGCTTAATAAAGGAATGCCCAAGAATCAGCACACGTGGGGTGGAGTTAGACATTCCCCAACTATTGGCCGAAAAACCTGCGCAGCTGAGGTCAAACGGTAAAAAAGAACCAAAAATAGAAAAGAAAAACGAAGGAAAGAAGAAAGTTAGACTTGCCTGAAAAAATTCTTCTACAGTACCGAAGATCTGTGCTCGGATGGTAACACGATCGAAATGAAGGCGAGAAGGACCAGGAGAGAAACTGACCTTGCCTACAACCTTGGTGATATTTGATCTGACCTCATGCGATTGGCTTAAGATCTGTGACTTACAAAGCTCCTTGCCCCATGCAAAGGCACGCCTAAATACATAACTCTATATGACGGGCCTCGAGATAAAATCACATTACGCTTTTATCACAATGTTGGCCTTCTCGTTTACACAACATATTTCGACATTATTCATGTTATCTTCAGTTACAAATGCTGCAATGTTTGCCGGATATCATAATTCCCATTTTTAAAGCCGGCAATTCAAATCTACTTTTTGTTTTCAAGTACTCTGTTTGCTTTCTTGCCCACTTCTTTACCACAATCCACGTAGGTAGGTTGGTAACTTTATTTCAACGCGGGTTGTTGAGGCTGATTAGGCCACTAGCAATACATCATAATGTGCCGAGCAAGAAAACCACACATCCCACCCCAGGGGAGGACATCCACCACACAGTAATCTCGTGCGTGGGAAATTAACGTCTCCTACCCTTAGCCCTGCAGGAGACGGGGCCCACAGTTTATTCGTCCTTATCCGAGAAGACTAGAATATCTATCCATTCTTGATATTATAGAAAGGTAGCAAATTTTCCTCACTTAATTTAAGACCATGAGTATTGGTCCGTGTTTAATAAAGCTTAGCCCAAAATTTAGGGTAGTTGTAATTAAGGGAGGAACATTTTGACTCAACAAAATAAAAAAAAAAAAACAAAACAAAACAACACAACAACCAAAAAAAAAACCATCCAGATACAGTGTCTATTATACTATAGTCACTAACGAAGGAGACCCTTAAATTTTGTGATACCCCAAACTACAGCAGATCTCCGGCAAATGAACTATACAAAGCGAACAATGTTCTTTCCTATGAGTTAGTCTGACACTTTTACACTGGAACGTCAAACTTGACGCTTCCCAGAGTCACAACAGTCGCCGTGACATGGTGGCCTTGGCAGCGGTACTTGATAAGAGATGGGTTGCGCAAGAGAGTCAAGGCCAGGAGCCAGCGGTTGACGGCCTTTTGAGACATGCGCGGTTGACGGTACTCCCGACAAAAGCCTAAGGACAGAAAGAGAAACACGGCAATGTAAGCAACGTTTGATATGTTTGGTCGAGAGCTAGGACGACTTCGTCGACTACTTCAAGGTTCATTACCTTTCAAAAAATTAATTCATAACAAAAAAAGGAATCATGATAACAAAGAAGAGAGTT